CCTAGAACTAAAAGAACCCCAACCCTTCTGCCCCCACCAAATCGAACCCCCACTCTATCCTCTTCTCTCTTCTAATTTCTTCTCCTCACACAATAAACTCACTAGTCCATCAGGTAAGGGCTTTTGTTTAAATTTTTGTTGGGTTATTTGAATTTCTTAGTTATGTAGTAGTTTTCTTCTTATTTTTGTAGTAGATTTCTTCTAGTATTGTGCTCTAGTTACACTAGTGGGTATGTCGGGGTAGTAGTCAAATTTTATCTTTGACGGGTTAAGTTGACATTGGTATATCTGTGGTTGAATTGGGGCTATCAAATTGTTATTTGGGAGTTCGGGTGAATTGTGCACATCAAGTGTTTGTTTAAATTCCACGGTGAGTCTTGAATGTAATTTGTGACCAATTGTACGAGTGAAGTCTGAGTAACCGCCCTTGGTTCACGTCTCTTGTTTTTTTGCTGATGGTGATATTTGTTTTAGGTAGTATGACGCCCTCCAAGAAACGAAGAACCACCGATGCTTCCTCCAATGGTCACGCTGGATCATCCAGGCCACGAGCTTCGGCTAATGTTCGCCAGTATGATAGTACCAAGTTCGTATCCAGCGCGGCTCAGGAACGTTTTGATATAAAGGCATCCAAGAAACCCGTATCGGAGAGGGGAATTGATATGGGGTCCCTCTAAAATGACTGTCCCAATATGTACCGTGAATTGGTTAGGTGCAGGCTGGATATTTTCTTTGAAGAACCGGACGAAGCTAATTTGATGGTTGTGAGGGAGTTTTATGCGAACATTCCGGAATGTGAACGATGTTTGCACGATGCGAAAGAAAAATGTGGACACATCCATAGAGGCCATTCAGAGAGCTTACCGGTTGCGAATGTTCGGGGAGGACCCTGATGCGGAGGACTACTATGTCACCCATGGCAGACAATACACCACGTGGAGTTTGTTCTTTGGCACAATATGTGTGCCCAACAAGGAAGTAGTGTGGATTATACCAGGGAAGAAGTTTCATTCGGCGTCACTCACTTTTGAAGGGAAGTGTTGGTTGTATATCATCAATAGCCGCTTGCTACCTTCCTCCAACACCACTGAAGTGAATGGTCCCAGAGCTGTATTGATCTGGTGCTTCATGAATGGCCACGATTATGATGTGGCCAAGGTTATTCATGACGAGATGTTCATCCGTTGTCCAGTGAGGAGGCATGGGTTCTTCTTTCCTTCTCTGGTCACTAGGTTATGTCGGGCAGCACGAGTACCGGAGAACTTGAGCATGGATGGAAGAGTGAAGAAAGAAACAAAGTTCCAGGCGGATAAAGTGACCATTGGGACGGACCCTGTGGTACCTGGAGGTGCTAATAGTGATGATTCTGATGCACCAGAGGAGGGAGATGAAAGGCAGGATGAAGTTGGGGCTGAGTCACCCACACATGAGCAAGTTGCAAAGGCCGAAGGAACATCTGTGGTAAGATTAAATATGAGGATGACAACCTTATAGCATGAAATGGTAGGGTTGCGCACTTCTGTCATGGATTTGGGGGCTCGAGTTGATGCACTGGCCACCCAAAATGCAAAATCGGAAAAGAAGATCATGGCTTGGATGCGTGCGGTGGGGAGGGCGTGTCATCTCGACCAAGGCACTGTCTCCGATCAAGATTGATGTACCAGTGAAGTTTCCTTTACCTCGCATTTCTTTATTTTGTGTGACGTGGGTACATGCCACCGTTTTAAGTGTGGGTGGGGGATATGTTGTATTTATGTTGTATATATATAGGAATGTAACTTGATTTTAGTCTCTGGTTAGTTTGATTTTAGTCTTTGGTTAGTTTTTCTAAATATGTGAAAATTTCAAATTTTTGACTTGTCCCGACGGTGGATATCACTCAACGGGTTTCTTGAGGGTCTAAGTCGAAAGAAAAAAAAGAGAGAAGAAAATATTTTCTTTTGTAGGTAGTGTATCAATTCCCCCTTGGTTTTTCTTTTGTAGTTTCATTTGAACCGAGTGTAGTTAGTTTTAATTTGTAGTTAGGAACTCCTATGTACTGATATGGGAATAGGATCTTTTAACGTTGTTATGCCTTGAGTATAGCGAGTACTTTAGTGTGACACTTAGGCTCAATTGTTTATTCTTGTTAGAGTGCCTTAAATTTTATGTTCTTAATTTGGCTTAAGTACCCTGACGAGAGTGTTTTGATGATCCAATCTGGAGTGACTCATGTGCCATGTGTGTGTGAGGATTATTGTACTATGTGCACTGCATTTGATGCCTAGAACTTGCCCCGTGTATTTGCAAAGCGAAATAGTAGTTGTGTTCAGTCTTGGAAGTGATATATGCGTTTCTTTGTTGAGCCATATATATATATTTTACCCGCTTAATTATTATGTATCGTAGTTAACCCCTTTGATCCTGTAATCCTGTTTCTTTGGCAACCACATTACAAGTCTTACCCCTTTGTTTGAATTAACTATCTATTTGAACCTTTTAACCTTTCATGAGCACTTGAATTATTATGAACTTTGTAAAAGTTAAAGTGTGGGGTGGTTGGTTTGGCTTTTGAGTGGAACTAAGGAAATAAGGAGAAGGGTGCACGGTTTTGAATAAATAAGAGCCACTTGAATTGGAAAAGAAAAAGAAAAGAAAGAAAAGAAAAAATGGGTGTATTGTTGTGAAAAAAAATTCCTTGATAAGTGGTGACTCTTGATGTAATTGTGCTCAAAGAAATATGGGGGTAATATACATTGATGTGAAGGTGGAGTTTTGGTTTGACATAAACATGGGCTTGAATGTTAAAGTATATGTATTAAAGTGCTTAGGGAGGTGTAGTCACTCTTATATCCAAATGTATCCTACCCGTCCCATAGCCTACATTACAACCAAATAAAGTCCTACTTGATCCTCGACTGAATGGGCTCTATTAGTAGAGTGGTACACTACGGGCAAGCCTATGGAGTATCTTTTGTGGCACAAGAATATCGTTTCCGATGGTGAGTGAATTCTGTCTATTTTAAAGTTCCTCATTGTGCATTAATTTTACTTGATTATGGAATGAGTCTCTTTTGTAGTGAGCAGGCACTTGATTCATGAAGGAAAGGTAAGTCTTGACCTCTGCGTTAGAGTAAGTGAGTAAGTTAGGAATATTGCGTGGCCCGTGGGAGTCAACTCTTGAGGTGAAGATGTTACACTGCTGTGCTCAATCTATGTGAAATATTCTTGGTATGACGAGTTTAAGAGGTCGCTTAGTGAAGTTAGACCTCTGTAGAGTGTGGTTTGATTGCTCGGGGACGAGCAATGGTTTGAGTGTCCGGTGTTGATAGTAGGCGATAATTATGTAGTTTAGCTACCATTGACGCTCTAACTTACCTGCACTTTATTGATAATTGAATGTTAAACTATAACAAGTTGCCCTAATTAAGAAGTTTATGCTTTGTAGGAGCAATTCCGGGCTATGAGGACATTAAAGAGTGTTTTGGAGTTAATATGGAGCAATGAAGGCTAACCGGAGGTGAGAGCGCGCAAAAGAAGAAAGAAAAATGAAGGCAGAAATCTCCTCCAGGTGCGCGGTCGATCCGCGGCCGCGCACTGCCCGCGCTTGTCAGGCAGAATAAGGAGCAATATGCGCGGTCCATCCGCGGTTGATCCGCAGCCGAGCACGTCTCTCCGAGGATTTTTATTTCAGGGGTAAATTTGTAAGTTTAGATGCGACTCTCCTTGACCTATATGAAGCCCAGCTTGCCCAAAAAGAGGGTATCTTGGTTTTTAGAAGAATTGGAAAGGCAAGAACAGGCAAGAAGCAAGACGGAAGATTCGGCAACGAGTTTTTATCTTTCTTCCTCTAGTTTTTATCATTGATGATGAATTCTATTGTTGAGATTATGAAAAACAATCATGCATAGCTAAACTTCTAATCTAGGGTTTTGATGGAACCTATTGGAGGATGATTTTCTTGTTATGTTAATATAGATTTGCCATAGTATTTTCTCTATTTGTTCAACTATATTGTGATTGATGTTGATTGAAGGGTCCTCAATCGACTGTGCCTATTTAATATGTATTACTCGGGAGAGAGTGCATATTTAGGTAGTTGTTGAACAACACCACTCCTAATGTATATGAGGGATCAATATGAAGGGTTTAAAGGTGGGATTAGGGATAACGAAACCTTGGGTGCGATCTAAGTGAGCTGTACTTAACGCTAGCTAGCGTAATTCGGGAGAATATGTCTAATATATTGTTGTAATTACTCGGGAGAGAGTTACGACAGTCACAGTGCTCATGATCGATAGAGAAGACTTAGGCAAAGTTATAGCGAACGTAGCGGAAAGGATTCTGACAATAGGGGAAATCCGAACCTTAGATCATTCCAATTCTTGTCTATAACCCGTTCGTAGTTAGTTCTTATTATTTGCATTTTTGTTACGTAATGTTATTAGTTAGTAAACATCCAATTTATTACTTAAACATTTTTGAAGATTGATTACGAGAATTCATGTGAGTCCAATAGCTGTGATTGATAGGTTAATTCCCTGTGGAATTCGACTCCGGACTTGTTAACTGGAATATTTGCAGCGACCGCTTTGTCCTTTTTATAAGGCACAGTTTGGCGTGATCACTGTCCTATTAGAGATTTTTATACTAGTAGAAAATATAAAATCTTGTATTTTTTATAGTTGTAAATTGACTTGAGATGAATTTAAACGGTGATATATAGTCCGTGAAAATTCATATAATTAATCTCAATTTATTTGGGATTGTGACGTAATCTACCCTTGTGTATCGACATGCTTCATGCTTGTCTTGTAGTATTGTACATAAACTGACTTTAGGAAATAAGTAGTTGTACTAGGGCAAAATGTTCCATTTCCGTTACTTGTGGGGCAAAAACGAAATTTCAGTAAAAAGACCGTGTTAAATCGCTGATGTCGTTTGCTGTAAATTCACTCAACTCCATGCCCTTTTTAGGTAGCCCCATATCCACCCCCTTAAGTTTCCCTCCTCCCCTTCTCTCTCCATGCCTTTGTCTTTTTACAGTCAATAGGAAGGTGGACTTTATAGAGAGAGAAAGAGAGTGTGAAGACTAACAGTAGTTGTACATACATATATACAAATATAGAGAGATAAAGGAAAAGTACCGTATGATATAGAGAGAGAAACTCAGCGAACGATGAAACACATTTTCAAGAAGCTTCACCATCAAAATCGATCCAACGACGCTCAATCTACTTCCTCGGCGGTTTCCTCATCTTCGCCGGCGGCGGTATCACCGTCGTCATCGGCGTCATGTGCTACCGATCACCGGAATTCGAGTTCTGTTGCTCAATCACCGTCGGCTCCTTCCACGGCGTCGAGTGCCTCCACGACGGCCGCTGCTCCGACTAGTGCTGGTGGCGGAGGAGGGAATATTTCGACGATCAATCGGCAGCAGGATTATTATACTTCGGAGGAAGAGTACCAGGTGCAGCTTGCCCTAGCGTTGAGTGTGTCATCCTCGCAGGCTCAGGATGCTTTCCCGTGCGATGTTAACTCAAGCAACGGTCAAATACTCGGGGGAGGGCGAACCGCTGCTGACTTGGCACGTGATAGGGAGGATGCCGCTGCGGACTTATTATCGAGGCAGTATTGGGTAAACTTTGAGTTCTCATTGTTATTGAATTTGCTTCCATTATTTTCGCATTTGCTAATTTAGCTGATGGTCTTATTAGTTGAAGTCAAATGAGAGAATCCCATATTTGCCTTTTCTATGCCCTTTTGCAGTGTCATGGTAGTACAACGTTTTGAGCTGTAAACTTTGCAAACAATGTAACTTTCAGAAAAGATTAGATTAAATAACTAATGTGAGTTGTGAAGAAGGGTAGCCTTTTTTTAAGTGAAGTTAATAAATATTGATGTAACAGAGAAAATCCCTGTATACAAAGTTTAGAAACTTAAGAAAGAGCAGTACATGATTTGGATGCTCATGGAAGACCAAGATTTAGATTAATAGTTGACATTATGGGTTGTCAAGCAAAACTGTCATGCTATTTTTAATTTGAAAGACACATGAGTTTCTTATAGGATTTTATTTGTTATCTGTCGTATGCTTAACCTTGAAGGTTTGAATAGGTTCTGTTCCTCACGATACTTTATCGATGATGTTTTTCTTTTTTCTGCCTCCACTCCAAAAGCTTAATAATTCGTGTACTTTGCTAGTTCTTGGGATATGTTCTCTATTGAAGATGGTTTTCAGTTTGGTTCTCATAATCTGGTTTCTACTATTATCTCACTTACTTTACCCTCGTATCAGGATTATGGTGTGCTGGACTATGAGGAGAAAGTTGTTGATGGTTTCTATGATGTATATACTCTCTTCACAGATCCAGCAAGTCGTGGGAAAATGCCATCTCTTACTGAACTTGAATCAATTCCTGGGAGTTCTGACTTTGAAGGTGTAATAATTAATCGGAGAATTGACCCCTCCTTGGAAGAGTTGATGCAGATTGCACATTGTATTACATTGGACTGCCCTGCCAGTGAGATTAATCTGTTAGTACTGAGGCTTTCGGAACTTGTAACAGAGCATTTAGGTGGGCCAGTAAAGGATGCAAATATCATATTGGCCAAATGGATGGAAATAAGCAACGAGTTGAGGACATCACTTCACACCAGTGTGCTGCCAATTGGATCCCTAAAAGTTGGGCTTTCACGTCACCGTGCATTGCTTTTTAAGGTGATTATCATAATTAAATGTTATGCCTTTTTAAGAGCGTTGTAAATCTACCTAGAGATGGGCCTTATCTCCCGAATTTACTTTGCATCATTGATCTACAAAGCTTTTGTTACCTTTATTTTAACCAGTACAATTGCAACTCAAACCATGCCCATAGTCTTCTGTACTTGTGACCTCATTCAGCTGGATTTTGTCTCATTGAACTTTGTAAAGGTACTATTTGGGACGGGTGTGGGCAATTCTTATGACTTTAATCAGATATAAGTCTGAAATAGGGGGAACTTTAATATTCAAGTTTGTTGACGTTATGCTCTTGTAGCATTTGAGTGATTGCTCTTTTATCTATTAAGATTTGTATCGTCATCATTGCTATTGTTTTACTGGAGACAGGTACTAGCTGACCATGTTGGAATACCCTGTAGACTTGTTAAAGGGAGTCACTATACTGGCGTCGAAGACGATGCTGTCAACATTGTAAAGTTACCAAATGATAGGTGAATTGCGAAGTTCCATATCTTTTCTTAAATCTAAGTAGGAGGGAACAATTATATCCTAATTTGACATGTTGCAGAAAGTATTGTGCATGTTTGACCATGGTTGATTCTGTTTACAATTCTTTTTGCTGTCGAAGTTGTTGCGAGAGAGTCTCATATTATTTGCGTAAACGAGTTTTGTCCTTGCATAGTCTTGGTCAATCTTCACATTATGAGCTAGCTTTTGTGATTGAGTTAGACCAAGGTTCATTTCTTAACATTCGTGAAATTTAAAAGTACTTATGGGTCCTTTTTATGTTTTACATAAACTGTTTCTCAATATTATGTAATCCATTGGTATTTGACTAACTATTTTTTGGAACTTTTATTTCTATGCCTTTAATTTAAGTTTCTTAAAGCATTTTTGTCTTAATATTTGTAAAGTTGGCAGGTCTCAATCTCCTCTTTCCGTGTATTTTTGTGGAGTTGTTAACACTACTTTTTGTCAAAATTTGTTTTTCACTGTGTTGTGCTATTTACGTAATATGGGTGAACCCTCCCAATGTATTTGAATTTATATCAGGGTAGAATATTATCTTTGTGAAAATTTGTTTACCTTATGTTGTTAAATTCTCAATACTGGAGCTTTACGTCTCAAAATATTGACCAATTCCCTTCATGGTTGCCAAAGTTTCTTTCTGTAGCTAGAGAGAAGGAAGAAAATACTGAGTAGTGCTTCTTCTAGTCTGAACTCCTAATTAATAATTTGAACTTTTCAAATACTCCTTGTCCTAAATGAATGGCAACATCTGATTTTTATGATTATTACAAGGAGAGATGAGAATGTGTATTTGTTAACCATTTGTTGTCACCAAATAATATTTTTTAGCTGGAAGTACACAATAGAGAAGAATCATATTTTGATATAAGTAGTAAAGGTTCCACATAAAGTCATATGGTTTCTAATGTTACTCCTCCGTCCCACTATTTGTTTCCTTTCTATTTCGTCCCAAAACGGTAATTTTTAAGTATAGATTTAATGCATTTTCTATAATGTAGTAAATCATGTAGGACAATGTTTACTCTTCTCACTGCAACTTCTCCTCTAAGCATGAAGTCTAAAACGTATATTTACATCCCC